AATGGTTTCTTGCAGTGCAGTTTCTTGGTCTGTGAAAGATACAGTCTTCTGACATTGGAACCAAAACCAAGAAGAGATGCGGTGTTTTTGGCTATTGATGGGAACTGCATTGGAGTGCAAGGAAGTAGATCATGAGATTGGGTTTGTGCTCATTTTGAATTAAAAACACAAACTTATCCTACTACATACAGCCATAACATGTGCTGTCGGTGTAATGGATTCAGTGTAAATAGATAAAGTGGTAATTAGTACTGGCTGTCAGGAGCTTTAGCTCTGGGGCCTAGAAGCTGGATATGGGCTCTAGTCCTAGGTGGAATGTAGTTTCTAAAATAGATACACAGATCAGCCAGGAAACCCATTTTATAGCAAATGTGTTAATTGCTTGGCTGGGGACGTGCATGGACCCGTTTTCCTAGAGCGCGCGGTATGTTCTGCACAGCTAAAATAGTCATGTGTGGTGTCGGAGTCTGTGTCTGAGTGTATTTCCTTTTTTCTTCTCTGCTTCAGTGAACATTAACTCAATATATTCTATTCCACACACAAAGTGTTCTGGTGATAAATCGTGCAGGATCTTTCACGCTTTCTGGGTGAAATGTGCTTTCCCATTTTTGGTGGCGTGCTGTAGTGAGTACCTTTTGGGGCGGGGGAGCTGCTTCAGGACGTGAACTGCCATGCTTCTATTTTCTGTTTGTGTTGCAAGTTAATCACAGGCTCTTCTGTTGTAATGTATGCCTCTGAGAGGACTTTTGTTCTAGCTGTGGCTCTTCAGCTTGAAGTAGTAATTGGAGGAGGAGGTTGTTAGGCAGGGCTGGTAGATCCTGCTGCTGACTGGCACGGGTGCCTGGTGCAGATACTGGAATTGTTCTGATCAATGCTCTCCTGTTGTTGGCATGACAGACAGGCAAGAAGATAAACTTTTTCCCCTCTTTTTATCTCCACAGCACTTCACAGAATTCCTTGATGAGTTTTCACCAGATGTCCTAGGCCAGCTCTTGAATGATCCTTTCTTGTCTGAGAAGAATGAAATAATGGAGGTGGAACTGTCTCCAGCATCCCCAGCGCCCCTCATCCAGGCAGAACACAGCTACTCCCTCTGCGGAGACTCTCGACCCCAGTCTCCCTTAACCCACATCTCGACCGATGACAACTTTAATGAAGGTAGTACGCACTGAGCTCTTGTTCGTTTGTCATGATGATGCAGTAATGCAATGTTCCTATATCACTAGCTCTTTGCTAATTCATGTACCTACAATGAAATCACAGAAGGGATTTATTTGTTTTAAGTTTGCAGGCATTGTAAATAAAGACACTTTTCCATAGACAGGGAAATTGTACTCAGCAGAAGTTACTGATTTTGCACTGTAAACATTTTCAATTAGAAGTAGAGTTCCCACGAAGAAGAAATGGGAGAAGAGCCGGAAATAAGCTTGTTTCCATGTACGTGAATCTGTGGTTGTTGAAGATAAATGGAGACTGATAAACCAAATGAGTCAGTTGAAGACCACCATGAAGCCTAGGTACTTCATCCATGGAGATACACAAAGCTGAGCTAGGCAAGGCCCTGAGGAACCTAATCCAAATGAGGAGTTAAGCAAGCTGGTCTTCAGAGGTCCCTTTAAAGCTGCATGATTTCAGGTTTATTAAAACCAAACAAACCTTTTAGACTACACTTACTTTTTAGTAGAGAGTATCTGGAGCTTTCTGGTATCCCAAAATGAAAATCAGGTCATCTTATTTATGTTTCTAAATACACGTGTAGGAATGTAACTTCAGGTGCTGCCCCAGTCTTAAAACCTGCCTTGATGAAGTCCTAGGGTTTTTTTTTCCTTTTTAGAAAAATAAAAGAATAATGCCCATCAAGAAGTCATTGGTGATTTGTAAAGACATAAGTGCAATTTTATAGGTTCTGTGGTTGTGGGAAGTGGTGATGCATAGAAAGTGATCAAAACCACAGAATTTTTTAGCAGTTATCTTTAGATCAGCAGTTATAAACATCTGGAGGGGGAAAAAAAACTGAAATGCAGGAATGGTGAGAGGAAAAGATCCAACCTGCCTGTTCTGACATGCTGGCAGGAAGGGGAGTTCAAGGTAAAAGCTAGTGATTGGTGGAGGAGCAAGGCCATGAATGCCTGGTAACACTGTTAGGAATAATCACCATGGCAGACTTTCACTCCTAATAATTGGTTTATGTCTTCAACATTAGCTTTACAGTGAAAAGCAGTGGAGTACTAAGCTGCATCACAATAAAAGGGAGAGAGATTAATGCTTATGTCTGAGCATTAACAAGCTAAGCTGTTTATGAAGATCCACCAGGACACAAGTTTTCAAAGGCTGACAGTTTTGTAGTCCAAAGTGCGTCTTAAACCAAGATGTGATCTGTTAGAGATTTCATAAGAGGACAACTAATAAAACCTGTGAGGCAGCTTTTCAGTGTGAGACGGAGGTTTTGGAGATGATCTGGAAATATCATCTACGTAAAGCCTTCCCATTTTTTATTTCCTAACTGGTTTATGTGAATATCTTTAATACATACAGGAGATGTTAATTGTGGTAGGAGAAACAAGCACAAGAAACTTTGGAAACCAAGCTTCTCTGATAGTTAATAGGCAGAAGCTTCAAACTAAGCTAAAAGTGAGGGGAGTTTCCTTTGGGGAAAAATCCTGAAGAAATTCATGCTGCTGAGACCACTGGGTAATTAGTAGAGCTCTAGTCAAATGATGTTTTAAAAAGCCAAGAAACATTAACAAGTGGGTTTAAAAATAGAAAATGAATGGAAAGCATTTCATCTTCTGTTCACTCTGCAGAGTGTTTCATAAGAGAAGAGGAGGAGTTGTTCTTGGTGTTTGGGATCTTATTTAATCTTAAGCCTGGAATCATGCTCACGACCTTTCAATACCCATCAACTTCAAAACAGTGAAGCTCAGCGAAATACTTGAGGAAATTGCAGAACTACAGTTAACGCAGCTGTCTTGATAGATACTCAAAGGCATCACCCTGATGATTTTTCAGTCCTTGAGTCCATGAGAGGGGGATTTTATGAGTGGCAATATTGCAGGGTTTGACACTGGAGATTGAAAGCATCTCCGTTGTTGGACGGTGGAGGTGCACAATGCTCCTGATAGCTCTGGTGAATGCCAGTTTCCTTGGTGGAGTAGGGGGACAGATACTGGGAGCACCAGTGTCCTTTTGGGAAGCAGGAGGTACAGGATGTGGAGGGGGAGGTCCATGTGCTCCAGTGTGATCTCCCAATGCCAGGGAAGGGACTGGTTTTGTGGAGTGACAGGGGCTGAGAAATGAGGTTGGCTGAGGGACTTATATAAAGAACGTGCAAAAAATTTACATTCTCCAAATAACCAGCCTGCTGGGCAGATTGATGAACTCCTACAGCTATCTGTTTTTGTGGTTCTTCCATGGTGAGGTTTCATGATTCTGCAGGACCCAGCACTGCAGGACTGGGAGTAGAAACAGGTTAGTGAGGAGGCTCATATATGACACTTGTATGCATGTGTGGACGCATGCTATGGACACACGTACTGTGGACCTGCGTGCCTGCAGCCAGCGGCAGTGCGAGGAGGAGGATGGCACAGAGCAGTCAAGCTGGGTCTGGATGCTGTTTCAGAGCTTCGCCCTTAGCTCTAAGAGGACTAAAGGCTTGGTGGTGTGCACAAAGCACATGGCAAACAGGCTTTGTTCTTGCTGGGCAGTGAGGTCAGTAACGTGGTGTTTCTTCTTTGTAACTCTCTTAGCAGTTGTCCTGGCAATGTTGTTTCCCAGGGTGTGCAGAAGTGCCATCCCCTTCTAGGGCAGTGGGCGTCCATGGGCAGGCAAAGACAGGGGAAGCGTGAGGAGGGGGAAAACCCAGGATTTTCTAGGGCCAGGGCCCTTAGCCCGTATGGCTAGATAATGCATACTTGGAAACGGTGGCTGTTACAGGCCTCATTGTCACTGTCACACCAGCAGTTACTCTGTTAGTGTGAGCTGGAGTTGCAAACTCCTTTCAGCGATGGCTACTTTTTCGGCACCACGTGCTAGCGTGTGTCGAGAGGCAAGCTGGCTCCCCGTGTCACTTCTGACTTGGTGCGTGTTAGTTGCTCAGCCCTCGGGTGCCATTTCTGTGCCAGGAGTGGGCAGGAGGCTGCCAAGCCCTGTGCTGGCCCAGCCTGCCCGTGGGTCATGCGCTGCCAGGGGGGGACAGGGGGTGGCACGTACCGCACGGGTCTGGTGTTCTAAAGGGAAATGTACCTGCCTGTCCTTAAAAATAGCCTTAAAAACTGCAGTTTGCTTCCATGGTGACAGGCCTGTTGGAGAGGCAGGAGCAATGCTTGAGGGCACGTGGCTCATCCTGGGCAGGGTCCTGCTGGCTGTGTGACCCCAGCCATCAGTCCGCCCCCCATTGTGTTGCTGCCTTTCTGCCCTCCTCCTTCAGTCTGTGCCTTCCTCTTGGAGGAGGGAATTGGATTTTGGAAGTCATCTCCATCTGATTCAATGGCACCCAACATCTGCAGCAGTTTTCATCTATGTGTTCCCAAGTATGGTGTCCCAGAGCCCCAGGTTACAGGGAGGCTCAGAAAAAGGCCCGTCTTATTTGGCAAATGATCTTCAAGACAGGTTTAAGCCATCCAGAGTCTATTTCTATCTTTTTTCCCCACCAAGTCTCTGACAACCTTACTGAAAATGTTATTTAATGTTTCCTTTTGGCTGTTAGGGCAAAGTGAATGATCGTTCTGACTCCGTAAGCACCTTCTTACTGGCTGTTGCAGGGGAACAATTGACTTCTGCCTTGGGCCATTCTCATTGGCCACTACCCGGCCGCAATTTCTGTGACCACTAAATTCACCTATTCATATGATTGTAAATCTTATATAAAGTTTTTTTAGAATATTCTAGAAGTGTAAAACCTGACAAATTCATAAGCCTGCATTTAACTCTTCTGAGGAGTCCCCTTGACCTCAAGGTGAGAACACATTTAAGCATCCATAAGATCAAGATCCCAGCACCGGTTCTCCCCAGTTATTTGCTCTTTGACTTCACTGTATTGAGGGTATTTCCCCAGCTTTGTGCAGAAGAACTTTTCTGAATACTCACAGGTTTTTGCTAGTGTGGGGTCTTTGAAGGCGTCAGTCCTTAAGTCTCCAGCCTATGAAAGCATTGGCAGGAGTAACTGTTTTAAAGCAGATGTGAGCAAGACATCTGTCATTTAGTTGTTTGGTTTTTCCTCTCATGAGAATATGCTCTTATATTCAATTTTGCATAAACTTCTAAGACTAAAGATACTGGAGAGAGAGATTTATAGGCCTGACCTGCTTGCTTGCAGCTGTCTGATCACATGCTTTTGTTTGACAGAACTGGTGAGTAAGGCATCTGGCCTGGGGAGGGCTCCAGGCTGTAACATGAAAAAGGAGGCTGCAGCGCTGCCACTTCTCTCAGGTTGTGAGCCCTGTTTTTTTTGAGACAACTGCAGAGTAGCTGTGAAGAAGCACAGTGGGTAGTTGTGAAGTGGAAAATACTTCTTCGAATGAACTGAAGAAGCTGGTAGGGGAGGCTGAGAATAGGGCTTATGGATAAGGGATACTTCTTGCTGCACATCAGGGCCTACTGTGGCACAGATTTGCTTCTGACAGTTGTAAACGATTAGGGGAAAAAGCTTTATTTTCTGTTATGGTTGGTGCATGTCTGTATTCAGTTTTCCAGTCTCTGCAGGCTTTTGGAAAGGGTAGGCTGTGAGTGAGACAGCCAGGACCAAGGCGAGAACCGATTTTCAGCAGGGACTACGGTTAGCCTCCTGTGTGACTTGAGATGCAAGTGCAGGGTGCTTCCCTGCCCTCTGATGCTTCATCCTGTCAGCCCTAGGCAGGAACTTTAGGACAGTGGCTGCCCCTTGTTTTGGATGTGTGCGATCCGTAGGTGAGAACAGAGTACAAGTAATACTGAGGGGCTGGTGTGCAGCAGGGATGTGGAGGCAGAGGCTGCAGCATCTGCATGGGCCTCTTCATCCTCTGGGATTGGCTCCATTGATAGGGAGTAGTTTGCAGTGGACGTGCGTTTGGTTTTTGTGGATGTTTTTTAGTTTGTGAGCCTGGCAGGGCTCAGACAGTGGAGAGCCGACAAGTCATTTTTATAGTTTCTCTCCTCAAATTGTGGCCAGGTGGCTGAGTGCG